AAATATGCCATTGGTAAATAAACGGAACCGAAATAAATTTCTTATAATATATATATATTTTGACGCAAAAGTATGTAAAAATAAATTTATACATTAAACAATAATATCACGTATTTTCTATCATATACACATTTTTAGATAGAACTAACTAATTCTAACGAAAGTGTAAAAAGTATATATATATCGAGATGTAGGTTTATGTAAATGCACAATGAATAGATGCAGTTAGATATTTGTTAACTAATTATTCAGAGTCAATTTCATTTCTTTTATCATTCGTTTAATATTTGTCATTATTCACGATTATTATTTTTTATTATATTTTATATATTTCAAAAAATTGAAAAAATATTTCTCTATTTAGCACTTTGACTTAATAAAAAGGGCGAAGCTTTTGTTTCTTAAGTATTATAGTTTAGTGTTTGTTTATCGATGCTAGTGGTTGATGAGATAAATAGCATTTTTTGCGTTTTATGCACCCAGTTATATGAAAATACGATTAACTGTAACTAACTATGTACCAAACAGTTCGTAAACTTATTAACACGTCTTAGTATAATAAAATACAACGGAGCATTTTCGACATGAAAATGTAACGTAGAAATTGTCTAATTCAGATAACTCTGGTATGCTTGACCAGTGGTGTACTAACAACAAAGGTACTCCGGGATTTCCAACCAGGGACAAGTTTGCAATCGCCGCCCCTCCGTTACCTTCCGACCACGAATACTGTACTTCCGAAACTTTCACAACATGCTGTTTTCGTTAATCAAGCTTTGGACAATGGCTTGGAAGATGTCGCAGTCTCAAGTAGAAGTTTTGCCGAAAGACAAACCCAAGATGGTTATTCATATTTGAAACCATTATTGATCGACCTTGAAATACCTTCTAAGGATCAGGAGATAAAATTAATCGCGGACAAACAGAGGTGAGAATTTACATTTGAAATACGGATTCAATTCAGAAATACGTCGAACACTCTATCTTTTCTCTCGATTATACTCTTTTTAAACCTTCGATTAAACCTTCCTTACAGTAGTGACCTTTATATAACCTATACACATCCATCTAGAGACAAACTAACAATAAGTGTTTCAAATTATTGCTCTTTCAAAACAGAAAAAATGGCACTCTTGGTATTTTTTAGATAACAAATAGTGACACCATTGTTTATGTAAACTTAAACATTCATTTTCTTGGTGACGTATCGAACGAACCGAATTTGATTAAATGTACGGGATATAAGAAAGATAGTAGAGCAATCGTATGAAGAATCTTGACTTTTTACTTTTTGCTTTATTAATCCCTTCCCTTATGATTTTTTCTCAACTGTACGACCGCTTTGTCATCAATAATTTATTAAAACAAGAGAACATTTCTGGAAAATTAAAAAAGAGAACACTTTGTATCTATGTTTATTCTAAAGTATAATTATTTACAACAGAAGAACAATATTCGATTTGAGTTTGGAAGAATTCAGTAATATTTATGTTTGTTACATTCTGTTTGAAATCTGCACCACGAGTGGGGCACGTTATTGTAAGGTAAAGTGTTAAGAAAACTATTTCGATTGCATAAGTGTTTCGACGAGTGTTTACTTGACAGTCAAAGCGTTAAGATCGATACAGGATATGTCCGTTTTAATTGCGTACAGTCGAATATTTCCGTAATTATTGAATATACGAAGAAATGTTTTAAATAAGAGTTGTTCAGAATAATGGGGGACATTCTGTAAGCTACATCGATTTTTCTTTATACTTTTATTTATAAAATATTTCAAGGTCAATGCAGTTTTTGTAAACAGAGCTATGTATTTTCATTGAGGCTAGTTCATTTTATTTTTCAAGGGAAATTCAACGATGTGTATAATGTTTACTTTTCATTAATAATGTATCAACTATTTTTATAAACATTTGTAGGAAGCATTAGCTTAGTAGATCTTCTCTTATGTTCCGTGAATGTCTAAACAATTAAGTATCGTCTCACTATTGCTAACTGTACTAATTTAACACTGAAACTATCGAACAGTTAAATTGAACTTTTGGAATTCCTTCATAGAAACTTTAAGAGCGTATAATTCAATTTACGTATTGCTAAATCGATTTTTTAAATAATTTTTCAGTGAAACATCTGTTATCTTTTTAATAATTGCAAAATAAAAATATCATGAATGGGCCATTTCCACCCGTTTAGTAGTTTTAACGTTAAAGTATTCTATAATAGGACATATGTATCATTTATTATTAAAGAGGATATGAAATTTAATATTTTTTGTGGTAATCCGTTGCGAGCAATATTTATTTTAACATGGGATTTATGGAAAATTCATGATAGGAGAATGAAAAACGACGAACATTTTTCGCTGCCATAGAAATGCAATATTTTATAAAATTTCAATTAGCCTTCTACACGATCTCCAGTATTTAAAATATTTTTTCTTATTCTTTTTCAGATTCGATTATTATTAAAATATTAAATTAAACATCCTCTTTAATAAGAAATAATACATACCATCATTGAATACTTTATATTAGTAGAATTAGCGATACTGGGACGGTATTTAATAATTTAGCCACTCGCGGGATACGAAGAAACCTGAAAACTACGAACATTTATAAAAACAGTCAAAATATTATTGATTAAAAGTAAATCTTACACACATCGTTGAATTCTCTTTGAAAAATGCAATAAACTAGCATTAGTAAAAATATATAGTTGCATTTAAAAAATTGCATTGGTCTGAAAATCTTTTAAAATAACAATCTAACAAGAAGTCGAATAAGCTTACTAAACGTCTTCTATTGTGCCGAACAACTTTGATTACAAACATTCTTTCGTATTTTCAATAATTTCATCAGAAATATTCGACTGCACACGAATAAAACGGACATACTGGTATATTTACACATATGTGTTTACCTATTTACAATTAATTTTGCATATGTATTTCAAGATCGCCGAAGGAAATACAAGATGTCCGTGTGATAGCAACAACGAAAGTGCCTAACACATCGAGATCAAGTAGAACAGACATCAGATATAATTCCCAGGTTCCCCAGCGAACGTCGTATCACGTTGTAGAAGAGCACAATGAATACCCAACGGACAATCCGGATCACAGCCAATTGCCATATACTGGAAAGGTTCTGACAAGGAGTCCCTATCGTAATTCGCAAGACGTAACGGCAACTATCAAAGCCCTCGATCACTTCCTGAGCGGGGTTCTAAATGGCGATAGTTATAACAGTGAACTTCATCCACCGTCGAATCCTATTTTGGCCCTTATCCTATCTCGATACGGACGCTATGTGCTCGGAGCACGAAGCCCTCGCGTCTACGCGCATATGGCTGTAAACAATATACATAACAATAAGCCTTTTGGTATCTATAAGCTGGAATGCGAAGAGCTACCTACTTATAATCGAAGATAATAATTCTGGAAATTCCATGCACATAATGAAATAAGGGTTGGGTATCCTTACACATTGAACCTCTGTGATATAGCGGATCCGTAATTATTAAAAATAATCGAGATACCCGACACAACGTACAAATAAAATTCTTTGTAGGTAATTTAGTCAACGATAAGAGCCTTCACGTATTGATGCGTGCAGCGTTGAGGCTGGTTTGGCTGCAAGAGCCATTTTTTGAACAAATCTTACTTAGCCAATTGCAATATGATTTATTTGCATACAAATGTTGCTGTTCAATTTTCTCGTAACTTTGTGAATGCAACTATTATAAAGAAACCTGAATTGTTACAGTATCGATACAATTTATTTCTGAAAATAAGAAAATTATTTTGGTTACGATGCAGCGAATTTGTAAAGTAATTTATAAAATCAAGTTTCGCGTGGGCGAAACTCGTTTCTACTTCAGAGATCAAGGGATATTCTAATACTTTATCAGATTCAACGTATCGAACTTTTTTTTAGAATTAATATTTGAAATATTATAAATATACTGCTAAAAGAGTTTATCTCCTAAATGATCTTAACAAAATTTGTTCGGAGAACATTTCTTCGTTTTATTTTAACAATTTTATAAAGCTTGGTTACAGTGCAAAACCAGTCGGGTTGTTAAGAGTTAAATTGTAAGGGCTGTAACAAAAAGGTTCGCTTTTTTACACGATCGGTATTTCAGTCCATCGGATACGAAGTACCGTAATGTAAATAAGTACATGACCAGTTTATGCTATTTTACTGCAGATGAGGGATACCTACAGATGCCATCAAGCGATCTTCATCTGTAGCACCTGTCTCTCGTCGGTGTCTGTAGTCAAGGCAGTCGGGCGATGGCCGCATGTCGGTAAAACACGGTTCACACTTTGCCGACGGATATTTTCCTGATCCGACTAAATTAACCCCTTGGCGTATAACGTGTCAGACTCGTGATGAACATTTTAAGTAGAATTTAACAAGTACGAATATTACTCAATTCTCCTAAATTCAAATTAAGTAACTATTCTTCTGTTGTTAATTATCACACTTTAGAGCAAACGTAGTCACAGAACATGCTTCGATTTTTTCTCTTTCTTCTAATATAGTATTAATGACAAAGTAGCATCGATCATGATTGAAGAATAAATTATAGAGCAAAGGGTTAATGATTGTTCTAACACTTTTTAACCCTTATGTTAGCAACCGGGTATTCTTTAAAACTTTCTACGCAATTTTGTATTCTTCTCGAGAAAATTTGACAAAATTGCTTTGGGTTTCCATTTTTTAATAATTTTACGTCAAGTTTCGCTCGAAAAATAAAAAAAGGTTGTGTAAAAATATTGTAATAATAAAATCTGATTAAAAGTGGACATATTGGTAGTTAACGTAAGGATTGAAGTAGTTTTTTCCTTATAAATGTCGTTTGCAGTATTCAATAGCGTGTTTTTGTGTTAGATAAAAACTGTTTTTTAGAAATGCAAAAATCATGCGAGATAGGAATACATATTCACTGTTTTTTTCATTTTGGATGGCCATTTGCGATCATTCGAAAACGAAATTTTGCGTCTTAAAACTGAAATGAATTTTTTAGAAAAATACATTTAAAAATGCATGTACCTGAAGAATTATGAAAGATAAAGTAATTTTATACCCAGGTTAATGATTGAGATGAGAAACTTTATAGGAATCATCCAGTGGGCAGAACAAACGAAAATTAATATTGTACAAGATTTTCAAAGACTAATACTGAGTTATAATTCATTTCACATCTTTCTCTAGTAATTACAATGATTGTATTGGTTTACATCAAGATTTTAGGAATTTAAAAAAATTTGAATATTCTCAATGTTTTCTTAATGTTATGGTTGCCGTGAAATGCACAAAAATACCGTGAGATGGGTTCATTCTTATGTCAATTTTTAATGCTTTATCTATTGTTCACGTCTGAAAATACATTGTTTATTATGTTTAAAGAATAATACACAATGTATCTTTGAAATCATATAATACTTATACGAGCAATTTTTAGATGCAATTGTATAAGCAAAATAAACGTTTTTATTATTATAGCAAGATAAATACGTTTAGCTATCTTATATTTTAAGAAGTAGTTTTGTACTGCAAGTGATAGATGAAATTCCTATAAACACGACATGAATTTTTAGAACATATAAATAACCTGAAAATGAACTTTAAAGGTATTTTATTCAAATGCCTGTGCTGTGTCACTTTCCTAATTTATCTAAATCAAATAAAAACGTTACGATGTAGGAAAATGTACTAATAAATCAATTTTTTCAACTATCACGGTAGAAAGGCCTTTTAAACCAGAAAATTCACAATGAATATATTACAAGTTTGCTTCTTGTCGACGTTACATTAATTAATCATCCACACGACACTTTCAATATTCGTATTAAACGCAACTTTACCATATTTCGTTCGTATCCCATTTTAAATTTAATCAATATCATGGGGATTCACCCTTGAACCAAGAGCAATCGGTCTTGACGCGAAGTTAATTGAAGGAGTTCGAGAAGCCGCTCGAGATATCCCGATTAAGTAGATACCTGCTCTCATTACATCATTCTACTTCGCCGGTAAGCTCTGTGGATACTGTTAAATTGATTTAGATTCATCATTACACAACTAAAGTATGTGAATAAAGAAATATAAATAACCAAAGATTACTCATCTTCAAACAGAAAAATTTTTATATTTATTTTTCTCATAACTCTGACTTTGTATTTTGAAAGATGACATGGTAATAGCAAAACAAATGAATTTTTCATTATAGATAGAATGTGCTAATAAAAACACACGAGACTAGCACATCAGCTTTTGAGTCTGAGAAAATTACTCTTCTTACTTACTTTATATCTAAGTACTTTTAAGGAAAAGCTATTACATCATTTTCATTAAATCATACAAAAAAACGATTGTTTCTTATTAAATCAGCATTGTATGTTGTTGTTGTTATTATTATTATTATTAGTAGTAGTAGTATTATTATTATTATACGGTAGTGGACATTTATTTACGTACATGCTAGTGACACTTTGATTTTTAAGTTATCTGCTTCCTCTTCAAAAGTTCACGAAGATATAGAAACCATATTTTTCTAATATTTGAGCCTTGCTTCATGAAATTTTACAAATGTCTTGTAAAATTTTTTCTTTATAATATTATTTATTTTGCGAATTTAACAAGATAGAATGCATTTTATGTTAAATAGTTGTTTTTGCTATGGACAATTAGTCACGTGCGATTAAAAAATGTGTGTACGCTTCTGTGAGTTATTAACGAAACCTTGTAAATAATCAATATTTGGTAGCTAGTTTTGCACGCACAGACATTTTTTCATTTTTAAATCCTTGGTGAATTTAGTCTCTAATAACATTTTTTAGTGCCTACAAAGGCATTTGAATTTGCAAAATTTTCGAAACAAAAAGTTCTGTTTACACTTCCTTCTGTTATATTAAAAAAAAGATGTCACAGAAAATAATGACTGTCACTTCCGAAAGTAGAGGCTTCGCGCTTCAAAGTGAATCTAGGCTGACTGTCGTACAATTTTTTTTCATAAAGTTGTATCACCTTAAACAATAACTGTTTTTCAATGAAAATTTTGTGATCCTTTATTTTGGACGCTAGTTAGAACAACAAATAGAGCCTCTTAAGAGTCAGTTCGTTACAAATATTTTCTATTTATTTAAATGCGAAAAAATGAAGAAGAAATGTAATTATTCTCATTAATATCGTGTGAATATAGAATAGAAAGTTTCAAAATATTTAAATATTTTTAATATTCATTTTCAACATTTTATGTAAAGATTATAATATTATTACAGTATACCATGATTGTATAGTTAGTCGAAAATTACCTGTCTTCTTCTGGGATACAAATCAGAGGCATATCGTACTACATCATTTTCAAGCAAAAGTACTCTGAAACTTATCATACTTTTGTATGCATGAGGAATATTATCGCGCTGGTATACAGTTTATATGAGGGCTATTTTCCAGAGGATATGTTTTTACGATCATACTGTTCACGAACTATTGTTTAACTCATATAACGTACATTCTAAGATAAGAACTGAATGTATAGTCCCTGATAAAAAAAATTAGGGTTGCCATTGATATCATCTTTGAGAAAACCAACAATAAATCAACAATCTAATTATTCTTATCTGGTCGTTTTCTCATATTAATTATTTATAACTCAGGCTTAATTTCTTTGCTTAACTCTTGGTCTTAATTCTTTTGCACTTGAAAGGCGCCTCTCAGTCGCTAATTGATTTGATACTGCAGAATTATAAAGTTTGATATTTAATATTAAATTTTGTATAACGCAGCTACATGTGACATATTGAAATAATATAGTCTTGTTCCTCAATTTATGCGCGATTTTTCGTCAAATTAGTTTCAGAAAATGTCGACTGTATCTCATTAGAAAATGTTGAGTATTTTCAATAATACACTTCTGGAGTACAAAGGGTTAACACTACGACAAAGAAATTATTATTAAATTACGTTTTAGACTTCCAATACAATGGTTATCGCGAAAAATATGACATAAAAACTATGATGGACCTAATTTATTTATTTAAGTTGTGATATTTCATATGTCACCACTAACGGAGTGGAAGTTGTTCAGAAAATAGAGAATAGATGAATGTGGGAATCAAAAAAACCTATTTTGGAATTGTAGCCTTTTCTGCATATAGCTGAAAGCAATAGCTGTAGGTCAGGGAAGGTAGCTTAGTGTGAGTGAGCTATCAAGTAGGTCTGATTCACAGGAAGCATTTATAGGTTTCCCCACCACGAGACATTTGCTCTTGCAGATGTGGCTTACACGCTGTTGGTCGGTTTTTACTTTTTTTCCGCTGAAAACAGCTTGCGTGAGCAAAAAATTGAGCTTGCCCGTATTTGGAATCAATGGTCAATGTAAAATGTCTCCCATATTAGGAATCACTAGTCAGTCCAAAATGTTTTTGCAACTATCAGCTAATCGAGAGTTCTAGTGGAGGAGGGCTTGTGTCACAACAATAACGTCGGGAGAT